ATTTTGAGTGCAGTTGAAGAAAAGGAAAATTGCAAACAATTTTAAGTGCATCAGTAAAGAGAAGAAAAATTCTCGGTTTCTTTCCTGGTTTCTCAAAAAATAAATTTGGGTTATCAAAATAATTTGATAATTGAGGTTTAAATAAATTTTGTGTTTAATTGAAGAGAAATAGAAAAGAACAGTATTGAACAAATTCAAATAATAAAAAGTTCTAACAAGTTTGTTTTTATTTACTGAACTATTAAAAAGAAGTAACGACAGACGTTCTAATAAATTATTCATGAAATCACGTGAAGAAACTCCGTGTTTGACAGGTGATAATCCTAAACACGCTCCTGTCTGTTGCAAAGCGAACGACTTTAAGAAAGATGGGAGAAAAAACAAAGAAGACAAGAAGAGAAATCGTCGAAAACAGAAATTAAAGACGTTTTAAGTTAGTTATCTGTAGAAGTTCTAGTTGAATCTCATTTATTTAAAAAAAATCTTTCTTCAATTAACTGTTTTTAAAAAATAATCTTTCTTCAATGAATATCTTCGATCAATAACTAAAGAGAATATAATAATCTCGTCTTCGAGGACTACGAGTGCAATCAGCAACCCTGAAACTATAGTAATCGCGACTTTATCAATTCAAGTTGCTAGCATTATCAAATACACATGATTCAGGGTTAACTAGTAATAGTAGTAGATCGGCTTATTGAGTAACTTTAGACTTGCGATCATTTTGAAGCTTCGACATTTTTATATTCCGGAGTTTGCAAATTTTTATATATTCCAAACTTGTAGGTCCTCAAATTCTATATTTCCAAATTCTCAAATTTTTAAATTTTCCAAATTCTCACGCTTCCAAATTCTAAACTTTCCAAACTCTCAATCCCCCAAATTTCCAAATTTCTCAAATTCTAAATTTCCCAAACTCTCACGCCTCCAAATTCTAAATTTCCCAAACTCGCAATCCCCCAAATTCCCAAATTTCCCAAATTCTAAAACCCCCAAATTCTAAATTTCCCAAATTCTCACGCCCCCAAATTCTAAATTTCCCAAACTCTCAACCCCCCAAATTCTAAATTTCCCAAACTCTCAACCCCCCAAATTCTAAATTTCCCAAACTCTCAACCCCCCAAATTCTAAATTTCCCAAACTCTCAACCCCCCAAATTCTAAATTTCCCAAACTCTCAACCCCCCAAATTCTAAATTTCCCAAACTCTCAACCCCCCAAATTCTAAATTTCCCAAACTCTCAACCCCCCAAATTCTAAATTTCCCAAACTCTCAACCCCCCAAATTCTAAATTTCCCAAACTCTCAACCCCCCAAATTCTAAATTTCCCAAACTCTCAACCCCCCAAATTCTAAATTTCCCAAACTCTCAACCCCCCAAATTCTAAATTTCCCAAACTCTCAACCCCCCAAATTCTAAATTTCCCAAACTCTCAACCCCCCAAATTCTAAATTTCCCAAACTCTCAACCCCCCAAATTCTAAATTTCCCAAACTCTCACGCCCCCAAATCCTAAATTTCCCAAACTCTCAATCCCCCAAATTCTAAATTTCCTAAATTCTCAACCCCCCAAATTCTAAATTTCCCAAACTCTCAACCCCCCAAATTCTAAATTTCCCAAACTCTCGAGCCCCCAAATTCTAAATTTCTCAAACTCTCAAATCCCCAAATTTCCTAAATCTCCAAACTCCCAAACTTCCAAATCCCCAAATTCCAAAATTTCCCATTCTCCAATCCCTGAAATCCACACCGACTAAATTCCTTAAGCCTTCAAATTTCAAAGACGTAAAACATCCGCGAATATTCCATAAGAACAAAAGATCGCATTTTAGCGCGAAATAAGAAGGGTTGTTATATCGGCACCGTAACATTCCACGGTCGAGATAACTCGCCTCTTAAAGAAGTCCGCGATTCCGTCCTGGGTCAGCATCGTCGATAAATTGTACGCGAAATTCAGTGGGACGATAAGCTCGTTCGACAACGAGCATTCTTCAAGCAGCTCGTGTAGAGATAAGGATGAACGATCTTTAGCCCCGATTAAAGAAGTTCTTCGAAAGAAAAGACATACTTCCGGTTGATGCTCGGAGAAATGTCAATGAACTGGGAAATCTTTTGAGAAAGAGATTTTATCGACTTTTATGGATATTCTTTGAACTTTAATGATTTCTTACTACTATTAAATTTAATAATATATTTATTGATGTATTTACTGATGTATTATGCTATATGAAAATTAGATGTGGTTTGTACAATTTCATGTACTGGTATATTTTCGTAAATTGGTAAATTAATAAGTTTGCAAAGCTTGAGAAATTTTTTGAAGAAAGAATGAGATAGAAAATATAATTGGGAGAAAGGTGAAGAAAGATTTATTGAAGATTCCTTGTTGAAGAAAGATTCATTGAAGACTTCTTGTCGAAGAAAGATTTATAGAAAATATCATTTGGAAGTTCATTTCGAAAATTAAAAATTATTTTTAAACGTCTTTAATCATCTCTGAAATTTCGAATGATGTCTTTGAAAATTTGAAAACTCCTCAAAACCACAATCGTTAAATTATAAATTTAAAAATTGAAGAATTCGAAAAGTGAAGTTTAATAAAAAAGAAGAATAACTCATATACTTAATTATTACTATAATTGTAAATATATAATTGATAGCCCAAAGAGAAGAAATTATTTCAAAATTGAAAACTCTATAAGAAACAGAATAACCGAAATAATTAATAAAAAAGTCGTAAAGAAGAAAATATCCATGTTGTGAACAGTATTACAGCTAAAAGCTGATTTAATCGACGCTGGAAAGTATTTAATATCGAGAGGTTGTTAAAAGTTTGAGCAAAATGATTAATTGTTCGGTGGAAACGAATTGTGAGCGGCAGAGTTTGTCGCTGAAGACTAGGGGGTTGTTTCGGAAGATAGGAAGATGGTTCCGGTGCTTCTACAGGAAGCTGCAAAACAGTATTGAGATACTCAAGTGTAAGCTTCAGTTATTAGACAATATTTTATGTACACTTATTAAATAATATTTTATGTATAATATACATTATACATTTTTCAATATTATTTGTGTAATTGACAAACTTAATGTGTCCTTTAAACACTTGTTCACTGATCAATGAATTATATTTATCACTGTAGAATTATCAAGTTTAAAACAAGATTCTTATATGTAATTATTTACTTGAAAAATTAGAAGATAAACCTTGCAAAAATTATATAACCTTGCAAACTTCAAATATTAATCATGACTGAAAAATTGTTAAATTGAAAAGTTATTTTTAAAGGCAATTGTTAAAATTATTTTTGCTATTATTATAAACGCATAAACAATTTCCATAAAAAAATGTATATAATTATAGAAAATTACTATAGAAGTTTTGCATAATAATTGAAAATTTGTATAAACTTTAAAAAATTGTAAAATGAAAAAACTTACAGAAAATAATTATCAATACTTAATAAATAATTAATCAGATCGAATAGCAGCTTTAGAACAATTCTCCATTCATCCTCTTGATAACAGAAGATTCCCATTGAAGCCTCAAAACCGTAGTTCCATATTTACAAAGTGAAAAATCAGTTTCAACGGAAGAAGTTATCGAAAGAATGTGTTTTCCGATAAGAACAAACGAGATCAAATTACATACAGTGTCCTCATAAAAGCACGTGTACAGATAATGACTATTAGCAATTGTTTTTAACACACGTTTCCTATTTTAGAACTTATACCATCGGTGTACTATTGATATGACATAGAGATAAGATAAGAGCTAATTGTAAGATACGCTTGGATGTTTACGAAGATAATAGAAATTAAGATTCAAATCAAATTTCTTGAATATCGAAAGTGCAGATGGCTGATTTTTAAGTTTTATCGATTTGTCTGGGGATTTGCGTGGCTGGAAAATTTTGGAATTTGGATTTTGAGATTTTGTGTAGTAGAATTTGGGGAATTTGGGGAATTTGGGAACTTTAGGGAAATTTTAGAAATTTAGGATTTTGGGAATTTTGGGAATTTGGGGAATTTGGGGAATTTGGAAATTTAGGAATTTGGGAACTTGGGAACTTGGGAATTTAGGGGTGGGGAAAGTGAGGAATTTAGGGAATTTAGAGAATTTAGAGAATTTAGAGAATTTAGAGAATTTAGAGAATTTAGGGAATTTAGGGAATTTAGGGATTTGGGGATTTGGGGATTTGGCAAATGAGAATTAGGGAATTTAGGGATTTGGAGATTTGGAAATTTGGCAAATGAGAATTAAGGAATTTAGGGATTTGGAGATTTGGAAATTTGGCAAATGAGAATTAGGGAATTTAGGGATTTGGAGATTTGGAAATTTGGCAAATGAGAATTAGGGAATTTAGGGATTTGGGGATTTGGAAATTTGACAAATGAGAATTAGGGGATTCAGGGATTTGGGGATTTTGGAAATTTGGCAAATGAGAATTAAGGGATTTAGGGATTTGGGGATTTGGAAATTTGGCAAATGAGAATTTGGATATTTAGGGATTTGGGGATTTGGAAATTTGGCAAATGAGTATTTGGATATTTAGTGATTTGGGGATTTTGGGATTTGGTAAATGAGAATTAGGGAATTCAGGGATTTGGGGATTTGGAAATTTGACAAATAAGTATTTGCATATTTAGGGATTAGGACATTTGAAAATTTGACAAATGAGAACTAAAAAATTTGGTGATTTAAGAGTTCAGAAATTAGAGATACTAAATCGGAATTTCTGAATCTAAGTGCTTTATAAATTCATAAATTCGCTTGTTAATTCATAAGATAACTTTGCAACATCTGTTAATTCACAACGTCTAAATTAGGAGACCCGAGACTTTCGTCATTTTAAACCTTGACAATATAAGCATCTAACAATTTGAAACTTCCCCAATCTCTAAACTTAAGAAAATAACTTAAAAACTTTTCAATAATTAAAAGATATAAAACTACCCAAATTTATAAACAATCTCCCCAACCTAATTTTCCCTATCTTACAGCTCCTCCACGACTGCAAGCACTGAGGAACCGCGACAACTGTGGCACAGGAGCAACGATACGATCCTACGCCCTGCAGTTAGCGGCCGACAAAACAACCACCTTCTCCCAGAACATCGACAACTTCATCCAATGCACGAAAGAGGGTAAAGAAGCGAGCCCCCATGTAGTCATGCGAAACATGCGGCAGTTCATGTCAGGGATGAAGAACTACCTGGTAAAGCACGGGGAAAGAGAATTCGAAAAGGAAGTCGAGAAGGAGAGACTGAAGTTGAAACCGAACGAGTTTCTGAACCTTGACGCCATCTTGGAGGGTGTGATGATGGGTCTCGTCGTGAGGCCGCTCAGGGAACACGTTTACAGACTGTTTGTGGATCACTATGCGGCCACTGGGTCGCTGCAGACCCTCGCGGAGAGCATACAGCACGCACAGGGGAAGCATGTGCAGGACCTCGGTGTTCGAGTTAGTAATTATTTAAAATATTAACCAAATAGGAATCTTTTAACTTGAAAGAAAGAATAGTCGATGAAATACATTTTATTTATACAATAAGCTATTTGTCCAAAAATAAGCTATTTGAACTTGAATCGCAAGCTAACGTCTACTTCGCTATGAACATTTAAAATAGATGTAAATTCGATACAAATATTTCCGAGACATCGAACAATATTTACCAAAAATAAGATTTCGAAGGTTGTAAACGCTTAAAGCTATAAAGGCCTCGAATTTACACAATTGCAAGCTAATACTGTCGAGTTCTAAGATTCAGAATCGCTACCCTCAGATCACAGATTAGAAACCTCAAAAGCTAAGATATCAGAAATACTGTTTGCAGCCAAAGATCATACCGCCGTCAGAGTCGAGTTTGGAGAGGATCCTGAAGTACATCGATCGTCTTCAGAAAGCGGACTCGCCGTTGGACAAGTTGGAGAATCTCTTGGCGGCCATTTCGGCCATCTTCAACTCCGTAAGTTCGCTAGGTTACCCTCCACAAATATTCAAACATCTTTCGTTCAGAAAAATATTAGAGAGATTCATTCAGAGAAATATTGCAAGATTTTGTTTAAAAAGGTGTTGAAGAATCCTTCAGACAAAACTGAAGAATTTAGTTCAAAAAGATATTAAAGAATCCATAATTAAACAGTTTAAATGTCTCCTGTTCAAAGAAATAAATAGTCGAATTTCTTAAATAGTCGAGCAAAGAGATGTTTGAATATTTTAGTAAAGCGTTCAATCAATCTTCATGAAGTGTATTTTCCAGGTGAAGCACGCGAATTCCGGGCGACACGTGACCCTGGGTGCGGATGACCTTCTACCTCTTCTAGTTTGGGTGTTAGTTCGCGGAAAGGTGGTGGACGCCGAAGTGGAGGCTGAATATATGTGGGGGTTGTTGCATCCCTCTCTTCTCACAGGCGAAGGGGGATACTATTTGACCACGTTGTCCAGCGCCGTTCATGTCTTGAAGACGTTCAAGTCCAGCCAGGGAACGATGTCCACGTTAAATGTAAGAGCCCTCGACTTGCGTGATATCTGAAGCACCAGGAAGAGGTTTCTTTAGAGTTACTCTTTTTGTAATAGTAAAATGTGTGTAATTTACCTTTGTAATTTGTTAGGCCTTGTATCAAGACTGTTACTTTACCTGTTTGTAGAGCTTTTGTGAATTTATGGTAGAAGTTGGAGAAATATTTTGGTTGTAGTTATGTAAAATCTATTAGAAGACAAAGATGAGGCACTGTTTGATGACATTAAAGTTACACCAAAGATTAAAGACCAAAAGAAACTACATAAACTTCATTAATTATCTGAATGTAAACTGATTATAAAGCTAATTATAAAAAGAGTAACCTATTAAAGAATGTAACTATTAACTAGAATACATATGAAGCATTTTGATGGATTACAAAAAAGCATTTCTGTGCTATTTAAAGCTTGAAATCTAGCAAAAGATACTACATGAAGCTTTACTGCTTGAAATACAAAATAGCTACTAGTCAACTATATACTTTGAAAGAATGTTTTAAAGTAGAAGAGTTATGAATGAAATGTAATGTAATTTCAGGGTTGTGGAACACCAGACTGTTCATCCGTACTACGGATCTTAGTACCAGATGAACTTCATGGATCCCTGAACACCAGAACGTTGCCTGTGCGACCAAATATGAACACCAGAGAAATTTGTCGCATCCTTGCGCATAAAATAAGGTGCACCAATCCTCAGGACTATGGTCTGTTCAAGTTGGTCCAAGGAGAAGGTGAATAATTATTTTATTTGTGGTCTAGGTGAACTTGAGTTCATTACACTTTCAAGTTTTAGATTTCTGAATTTATTGGTTTGAATTATTTTATGTTCCCTGGTTGTCAGATTTGTGAAGACTCTACTTACCAAATTTCATAATTGTTTAATTAGTGTACTTCTAAATTCTTGAGATTCAGGTCTTAGATTTCTAACCTATCCATTTCTTAAATCTTCAAGTCCCTAAATATTTAATTTCCTAAACCATAGATTTGTAAACCCCCAAATTCCTAAATATTCAATTTCCCACATCCCCAAGTTCCAAAACCCCAAATTCCAACACTCCCAATACCTCAAATCCCCAAATTCCAACACTGCCAATACCTTAAATCCCCAAATTCCAACACTCCCAATATCTCAAATCCCCAAATTCCAACACTCCCAATACCTCAAATCCCCAAATTCTCAACCTCCCAAATTTCTAAGTTCTCAAATTTCAAAAGTTCCAAATTCCTAAACTTCCAAATCCCAAAATTCCCAAAACCCACCTGACCATACCACCATCCCTCTAACTCTCCCACTGAACCTAGTATCCTATCCAATAAGAAGTCCTAGTTCACACCATTCTAAAACACTACAAATAAAATCTGTGGTCTGTATAATTTCAGAAACCTTACTGGGCGACCACGAGTGTCCACAAGAGCTCTCTCACTGCCTTTTCGCCTACAAGCGAATCGACGCGAAGATAGCCTGGCCGAAAACCAGCTCTTAAAAGCAGGTCCTGTCTACGGTTCGGATAATCCAAGGCACCGATTAATCCCTGGTTTCTTTTCACTCATAGCTATCGAAATTCCAATCTCAAACTTTGGACGATTAGCTCGTAGAACACTGCCAGCTGGATGGACAGCTTTTCTGAACGTATAAAAGAGTCACGAATCGAATCGGAGACAATCCGAGCATTTAAAAGCGACCAAAGCTTAATCTAAGCGTTAATCGTTCATTTTTTCTCGTTCGCAAAACGCATCACATATCTGGCATCATTCATCGGGTATACAATTTGTAGCAGATAAAAAAGACCCCTCTAGCTGCGATCTAAACAAATATTATTTTTGATCGAAGTTTTTGAAAAGCGAGTTCGAAGACAATGTAGTGCAATGCAACAGTGCAATGTTGAGGATAGGTTCTCGAAATTTATTTTGAACGCAGCTAAAGACGGTCGAGCCAACGGCGGTATACAATCAGGCAATTAATATTCAGTCGGATTTAATTTGCTCTAGCGAGCAGGTGCTAGATATAGCTCGTTCTGTTGGCGTTCAAAATCGAGCTCGAACAAATTTTTGTTAGTCTGACCGCTTGTACTTCGCGATCGATGTTAACGATTAAAAGAACGGATCATGTATTACTCAGTATTCGATATTTCGTAAGGCTCCTCAAACTTTTTAATCAAGTTGGAGCGTTGGTACTCGAGTCGAAGTCTGTCTTCAAAATTTTTGCGATAAGATTGTGGACGTTCTTCGAACTCGAATACCAATTTACGAGAAATCATTGTACGTTTTTTATGGGATGAAGCCCATAGGAAGGGTTTATGTGTCTCTGTGGGTTGTGAATATTTTCTTTTGTGGGTGAAATTCAATTGGAAGATGTAAGATTCACTTTTTAACTTTTAGACAATTATTTTGTTAATTATTGAATTATTTGAAGATTTCCTAAAGCTTCTAACCTTTTATATTTGCAAGTTCTTAAGTCCTACTTATGTTACAAAAAATCTAACCTCCCTAAAAATTAAATAAAAACTTCTCTGAATCAATTCTTCTCCTGAAATAAATTTTGTCCACCAAATAAAAGATTCATATCCAACAAAAATAACAGAGTCAAGTAAACGCTTGCTGTGCAGGTAGCTCAAGCCTAAATTGTAACCAAGTAAGAGGAGAAAAAAATGAAAACTGTAGGGGACTCCTTGATACAAATTAAATTAGACTTAGGAGCACGAAAGGCTAGTTTAGACTCTATTTTAAGTACTTTCTCAACGAGTTGGCGGATTAATGGATAAGCAATCTTCTGTACTTTATAGACGGACGTCGCATATTTATTGGGAAGTTGTACACATATTTTACTATCTGTCGAATTTGAATTTTTCGCGCGTGTCGCTTCTTCCCTTATCTTTTTTTACACTTTCCCGTGAAAATCTGCCAGGCTGATTTGCTCACCGATTTTACGAAGGCTGTGTAACTGTCTCTCAGAAACGAACTTTTTCACCTAGCGATTCTATGTTACCCTTCTTTCCCTGTTTTCTATTCACTTTTCTATTCCTTCGTTTCTGAAAGCGGACGCGGAGAAAAATGTGCAGACGTGGAGCGAATATTTTATTACTGAAATAAAAAAAACTCGTACAAATCAGCCTTGCATCGTTTTTATATATATATTGGTCTGAAACACGACGTAGCCCCCCTCGAATACGTGTAACAATAATAATGTTATTATAGCGATTTATAAATGTACATTTCTCCTTGATACCTAATTTATTTTACGAAGCGTTTTCTTCCTTTTTGTAACTGTAATTAGTAATTACCCCTTGGCGCATTTAAACGTGCTTTTCGACCCTCCCTTAATTGATTACGGTTAATCGTGAACACGTTAATATGCTTCTAATTATGCTAGTCAAAGCCGATACAAATCAAGAGGAGTTCAAGAAAGAATTATTCTTTTCTCGTTTTTTCCTCTTTCTCTCACACTCTCTCTTTTTCTCTCTCTGTAAGCGTAACTTCGTGATAGTTTTATTTGTTAAAACAGAAGAAAGGTAAATATCATTGATTATCATTACTCTCTCACCTTTATTATTATTATTATTACTATTGTAACGTGTAACACTATGCTCAATAAAAACTTTTCTATAATTCGAAGTGAATGGAACAATAACAATGCTAATTATGGTACGTGATGTTATATTGGAATAAAAAAATTTCGTACGCTGCAAGTTTCTCTTTTTTTTTTAGCGATAATGGAAGGAAATGATTGTACTAAGAGTTATATTTTTCTTTTAATATGGAAGCGCATTTGTCGTCTGGCAATCGAGATGACACGTCATTGATACACAGACTGCTGATAATTATAGCAACGGTTTTTTTCGAGTAATTTTATAGACAATGGGGCCAATCTTATCAGCTTAGGGTCTCTAAGGTGGGTGAACTCTGATATCTAGACGTAGCAAAGAAAAAAGGACGCTAATAGAAATGATGAGAACTAAGGATATTCAATGGAGGTATTTCAGCAACAATGTTTTAATTAAAATTCGAAAATTCAAGTACAATTTGTTTGGAAACCATGCTACGCGAGGGAGCAGACGAATAAATCTTACCAAGTGGAAATATTTATTATAAATCAAAACTTACATATTATTTAAATTACAGTACTTGCACCTGAGAGCTGCAATACCTCAAAAGTTTTGTTGTTCTATAGAATAAAGCAACAACTACTTTCGACGGTGAATGGACACTAAAACCTTATCTTAATACTGTATCACATCTATTTCAAGTATAAAATAGTAGATCATCTATTCCCTTTCAACTTCTTAAAATAAATCTTCTCAAAGAGCTACATAATCCCAAGAAAAATAAGCTAACAAAAACATCTAATATAAATAGTAAAAAGATATTAAAAATTACATAATCGCAGCTTAAACAGCGATGCAAGGTGAAACAAAATGATCACCTCTCAATAAATATTTACCCTAACAGAAAAAATGTGGTGCGTATTCTATACAAAAAGAAAACAAGTTCAACTTATACAAGCGATTAAAATATTACAAAAAGCCAACAAAGCTTGAGTTATCTCAAGCGAAAGCTGATATTTTCTAGGCCTTCAAGCTCTCAGGCGCAGAATATGCGTATCAATAAATGCATGATTCATTTTCCAAGATAACAGCACACGAAAAGTATGACAAGTGTAAAAAAGGATGATCGGATGAGAATTTCTACGATTTCTAAATGAACGCAGGATCAAACGATGAGAAAATGAAGTGCTGCTTAAATAATTACGCAGAATGAAAACGAGCTATCGTCGCTACGACTGTAAAATGATAATCGTACATCCGTGACCCGGGTGCAATTCTAAAATTTGAACTAGACCAGTCCAATTTCTTTCGAAGCTTTGAATTTTTAACGAGTCTTGCATGCGAATAGAACTTGAGAATTATTTTATTAAGCGATTAGCATTGTTTAATAACTATTGAATTTTATTTTTCGTTGTTAAGATCGAGTCTACTCTAACAGCTATAGTTGCCCCTTCTGAATTATGGAAGCAACTATAGAATGGCGTTGTAGGCTTCTGTTGATCTAAATTTTCAGATTTAGTTTAGAAATGATGAAATTCAATAACTTAAAGATCCTTCAAAGAAGCCCTTTCTTTCAAAAGCCTACAGCCAAGTATAATTATTTCTTCCAGCAATTCATGACAATAATTTAGAAGCTTCATAAAAGTTCTATTCATTTATTACGTAACAAACTATAGCCTCGCTATAATGGCTTCAAATGTGACTCATTACACAATGTTACAATGAAAGAGTTGTACAACGCGTAAAAACCCGAGATTCTAGCAGGTAGAACTCAGATGTAGGACTCGGCTAATTCAAACGATCATCATTTCTGTATTGTCGTAGCTACTGTTAAAAATCGAACGCAATTTTCAGACTGTTTAAATAGTTCACATTCACAGCCGGTTACAATGATCCTTGGCTTTAAAGCATACGTTTCAGGATTTACATAAACGCGGATATAAAAGGAATCCTTGTTTCGCGTCCCGACGGGATTAGAAAACGAATAAAAACAGAAACGAAAGTTTCCGCAGAAACGAAATAATTTATCGCGGTAACTATAATACAAATATGCGTCATGCTTAATATCTTAATTGCGACGAATAGAACGCATAGAATAAATTAAATATTGCGAATACATAAGTATATTATATAGTATATTATATAAGTATTCTTTCCTTTTTGTTATGCGTACGATTATAAATAGGACAAAGAAATCAACGTCGCCGGCAGATTAACTCTTTCCACTACACGCGCCATTTTACTTTGTATTATTGGACTCCAGACGGAACAAGAATGAAAAAGAGAAAACGCGATTCTCCCCTGGCGCGTTACACTTGTTTATTCTTGAGTATGACGATGATAATTTCGCATAATCCTAACATGCATGGTATGTAAGAGCAGCGATGGGCAGATCAGGTGCCCGCCGGAGCCTCACGGGCACGGACGTGCACAGTACGTACTGCATTGATGTGCGTGACACCTCCTCGCAGGCATAGTTTGCCCATCACTGTGTAAGAGTACATGTAATGCTAAGCGACATACAAACATTCCTTAAGTTATATGTAAATCATCTTGTTTTTGAATAATCGACCAAAAAGCTAGAACTCGTGGAATGATTACACGTTGTCGCGTCGTTTGAACTATGGTATGCTCAACGAAAAAGAAAGATATGTGTATGCAAAATGGACGCCTGTTTGAAGAAACTTTTGTTTGTTTATCGCTCTCTGTACAACACGGAGAACAGTGATTGAATACATCCTGATTTTTATGGTTAGGTCAATGTAACTTTCTGCAGTGTAATTGTATAGATCTCCTGCCCTCGGATTTTGATTCACGTTCCCAAGCAGAGTGGAGCGATATGCCTTCTTTCCTGTTTCCAAATTCAGTTGCTAGTCGTGATTGGGTTCCCGCGTTGAAACGAGCAACGTGAGCACTTCGTTAACGTTACGCCTGATTGAGAAGAAAAGCAGCTGGAATGTGCTGTACACGGTTAAACGATCCAAACAGAATGGACATCAGACAATGTTTTACGCAAACAATGCAGAGCCCTTTTTATCATCCAAACTTATCGTTCCCCGTTACATATCTCTTACATAGTATCCTTTATTGCGAGTGAATGAAACATTGTCCTGAAACAAAAGGAAAAGACTTTCTAGAGAGATCTTTCCAGCAACATCAATGATCGTGTGCCTTCAATCTAATTTGTTTTACCAATTCTTTTGCATTTGAAAGTAGCTAAGAATATTGAAGACACAGGATCAGAACAAACTGCTGATAAATGTTACAAAAGCTGAAAAAAAAAGTGACGTTAACTTTGTCTTCATATTATTGCAGGCAAAAACTTAATCGAATAACAATGTAACATTTAGAGAGAATAATTACTGCTCGCAAGGACATATTCAAGTATGTACAAGTTATGTTAGACATGTTAGGTACGATTCACAATGAGTGAGCAGTAATTAACTGGAACGATAACTTCAATGATACTTGTTATGCTACAAAAAAGGTCTGTGCTCTGACAATATCTAAAAATGAAAAAAAAGGGAAGTGTAAGACAATGTATATGGTGGATGGGAACAAAAAATAAAAATAGATTCCTCTGTGCATTAACATAAAACATTGAAAAATAAAGTAAAATGTTCTACAAATCTACGAATACGCACCTGCTCCAGAAATCGGTCATTTCTGTCCCGTATGTTGTCCAGACGAGATTGTACTCCGGTGACATCCTTTATCTAAGTCCCGGCCCGCAGAGTACTCAAATCAAAGCGAAACAAAACGACAACGCAGATATCGAAAAACGACTGGTAACAATGGTGGTTAAAAAACACAAATGCGTGCGAGGAAAATTAATGATGCAAACCTGTGTTATACACATTCGTTTTATACAAAAGAGGCCTAACTGACGATAACAAAAGAAAAAAGAACAAACGGACACTGAATATTAATTCCACAAGGGTCACGTAACATCACGAGCGGAATAACAACTAGAATCTTATACAGTTAGAAAATAATTTATTTGTTCGCTCTCAGTTAAAGTCTCAAGGCACTACTTATATTAAATAATCCAGTTCACAATTACCGATTGCAGTTTCATTACAACGTAGAATTGAATGTAATGTAACAATTTCATTATCTAAATAGGAGTTCGATGATCGCGGATATTTATGCATTTATGATATACTGAAGTCTACAAAGTTTACATGATTTCTTTGCATACTTAGATACATTATAAATGTACAAATATTCGCAGTCTATTCGTAATGTATAAAAGATGAAAAAAGAAAGTGATACAAGGTGCCCCGAATGAATAAAATTACCCTTCTTACGCTCTTGAGATCTGTCAAAATAGATCCGCAACACAGCTTTTCATTCATTTGTCGCACAAATGAGAATCGTTTAAGAATATATAATATATTATATGCGTATAAATATATAACATAATGAATTGCACGAGTTGCATCCATTTCTTAAAAAATACATAATACTTTCAAGGGAAGAATTTGAATATTACATGAGCTTCGAGACACCTCACACCTGTATTAAAAAGTAGGACACAATCAATGTAACCCTAAGTGAGAAAACTTTCGTTTAAAAGAATGTAAATTAAAACACATTGTTAAATAGGCGAATGTAAAACCGACGACGAGTCATCTCAAGCTAGAAGAAGACTGCACATTTGTTAAAAATCAAAGTAAACTGTACACAAGATTATCGTAAAAACCTCTTACACAGAGAATATTAATGTTTGTCAAGTATTAAACCGTAATTATAGCGTTATTAATTTTCTCTGCACATCGATTATCTTAAACTGTCATCTTTGCAAATCTATACTGAACTATATAGTTAAGCAAAGCTGTTGCTAAAATTGGCTACATATAATTTCGTGTGCGCAGTTTCATCGTGTGTTTTGGCTTACGAAAAATAACGAATATAAAAAACGATACTTGAATTTATAAATGTCCATTCAATTCATTTACATCGCGGTATCTTTCTGTCAAGCCAAGAAGAACACGTGAAACAATAACTATATAGTTTCTTTAAGAAAATAACTATTTCTGGAAGCATTTTTTATTCTATCTGCTCGTTAACATGATTGTGTATGATACAAGCGTAAAAAGTTTCAATAGTTAAATATTACAAATAATGCAACGTGAAAAATAAAAATGCTTCATAGAAAGCACCTCCATTGAATTTGGATTAATATTTAAAAATACAGATCCATGGTCTTTCAAAAACAAGACGAAACAAAAGGGAACAACGAAATTAAAGGAGCATTATTATCATGGCTTACAAGTGGAAGTGATTTGTAAAGGCTGTACTTTTCTACGCAATACTTGTCCAAAAAGGGTAATGGAAGTAGCAACAAACGGTTATCGAAATACTTGTAAATGTAATAAAAGAATGTGCAGTAATGTGCTTTCGTCGTATCATCGGAAACACCGGCTGCCGGAAACTATCGAATGCCCAAAAATTGCCGAAGGCCCACTCCTACGTCCAACTATACGTCCCTAATAAATGCTTGCACTTTAGAGGAATCTTTTAAGGACATTCTCGCACGATCGTAACGTTCCTCAGCGGTTTGGGTTACACCATTATGAAATTTTAAAACAAATACCTAAACGTAATGTTCTCTCAAACATGCGTACTTCTTTAAATATTCTCTCTCGTCCTAACGGCACAAAACTTTCAGCGACGCGACTGAAAGTCGTTTGTGTGATCGAGCATAATTGAACGACAGGTAACGCTACAGACGAATATCCTACGTGGAAGAGTGAATCCCGAAAGCTTGAAAGATCTTGTTTTTAAAACCGGGTTTGTTAGGACTAGCGTCGTGGTGGCCAGACTGTCCTTCATGTAGCGCCCTTTGTACCAGCGGCAGCGAGCCCTGTGATTGTGTGTTGTATCGCCAATATTCGTCAGAACGGGCCGGATAACGAAAAAAGAACAAAAAGAAAGAAGAAAAGGATAGTAGACGACTAATCGTGTGCTACAACATGCAGTGCGACTAATAATTTATTTATTTCTCGACACAACTTACCTCGTCGTGTTGCTCGTGTTCACTGTTGGCTAAACTGGATCGCGAACCGCGCCTTGTCGGTCCTTTTTCTTCTCCTAAAATCTGCGCCACCTTTCCCTGTTTCACGAAGTCCAATGTCTGCTTCAAAAAAATCACAACTTAATTAACAAATGCGTACAGTCTTTTTGACTATGCTGTCTTCAATATACAGATTCAATTTACATTTACTAGGATATTTTAACAGAAAGGTATTCAACTAGTTACATTTAAAATTTTTATAAAATTTATTCTTCTACTGTACTAACTATAGCAAGGGTTGTTGGTCAAACCCACTTTTAAATTTTGTAATTTATGAACTTGTAAACTAAACAGCCTGAGAAATTCAAAGACTCGGAGATGTGATTTATAGAATAAATGGAAATGTATCACGGTCCCACGTGCGGATACAATAAAACTTAATAAAATAACTTACCTCTCTTCGTGACCTCATAGCACAATCCTCCAAAGTTTCCGCCGCCTCATATTTTCCTTGTCTTCGGTATAACGCAGCAAGGTTTTTTAAAGTAGTTGTGACTGTAGGTGAATCTACCTTAGCAGCTTTATGCCAGCCCCCATACTCTCCATATGGGGTATTCTCTTTATTCCTATGTTTATTTTCTTCCCTTTCTTCCGCGACCTAAAATCGATTTCTGATCGTATAACTCGTTCTAAAAGCAACTAGAAGCATTTTCCAGTAAACAGAAGTACGCTCACCTGCCAAATTGGTTTATTATCGCTACAAATAGCACCAAATTCTTTCTCGTGTGCTCTAGTTAGTATTTGTTTATACAAAACTTCTGCATCTTTGTATTTGCCTTGTTTCAGATAACACGACGCTAAGTTGTTTTTCGTTTTCGCGACATTAGGATCATCTAGGCCTAGTTTGGTTTCGTAAATTTCGTGCGCTCGTTGATAATAACGTTCTACTTCATCGTATTTACCCTGGTTCTGACAGAGTAACGCGAGATTATTCAGTTGCTTTGCAACGTCCGGGTGATCACGACCCAGAACTTTTTCTCGAATATCGAGGGCTCGTTTACACAACGGCTCAGCCTCTTTGTATTTGCCTCGTTTGCCATACAAAACGGCTAAATTGTTTAATGTCGCGGCAACGGCAGGGTGATTTTCTCCGAGCGTCTTTTCGCGAATGGCCAACGCATCGTTCAATAGATTCGCCGCCTCTTTATATTTATTTTGATCTCTGTATACTAAAGCGAGGATATTCAACATAGTTGCGACATCAGGGTGATCGTGTCCGGATGTCTTCTCCAGATCCTCTAATGCCTGCTTGCATAGAGGTACAGCTACTTCATAACGGCCTTGACTCGCGTACTGTATAACCAAATTGTGCAGCGTACGTAAGCGTGCAGGTATTTCATACCCGGCATTCACTTGTTGTGCTAACTGTGATGGTGGTGTCGGCAATATCGCTGTAATAAAAGCGGAACATTAAAAACATGACTCTTATCAGTAGCTTAAGTCCGTGTGAATGAGAAATCTTACAACCTCTTTAACATTCCAACAGAGTATCGAATTTAATGCCGTCATTAAGGCAATTTGAAATGATGAAGAAACTTTGGTAAAATTTCTTTGTATCGTTCACACAAACTTAAGGGCAATTCAAGCATCAAGATGTGCTTGATAGTAGAAATGAAAAGTGAACATACACTTACTATTTCGGTCGTCCGCGTCGTCATCAGGGAACAAATCAACTACAGGATCAGCTTTTGGTCTGTCTTTAGCATTTTCATCATCAGCAGATGAATCTGCATCATACTGTTTCAGACTTGCCATATATTGTAAATGTTGCTTATCTACTTCTAATTTGACTGCCTAACAAAATGATAAATGTTTTAGCCTTTATACTTCTTTTTAACGCAATATAACATTAGAACTTTGATTTACATACTGCTTGCTCACTGGCTTGTAATTTTTGCTGAGTTCCAGCCAACTCATCCCTTAACCAAGCATTTTCCTGACATAGCCTTTTAACTTGGGTCCTAAGCTTTTGTTTTTCAGCCTCTACTGTTTGTAGGTGGTTGACAAGTTCTATCATAATGTAAGCCTCACCAAGACCCAGTTCTATCATCTCAATGTTCTTCGATAGCAAACTGGCTTTATCCCTTGCAACTGGTGTATCCTGCGACTGCAGTCCTTGTAGAAGCCCTCCATGTTCCAAATGAAGGGCTTCCAATCCTTGGGCAACCGTCCTGGCACCAGCCACAATTTCTTCCTGTGTCATGGCCGTCATTCTACCAATGGTTTCTATTTTCTTGCTGGAAGCAGAAAAACTAACATGTAATGACAATTAACACAAATTGAACTTCATTTAACATTGACTTATTGTGTTAAATGAATAATTAATTTATGCGTATATTACATCCAATACATTTTCTACTTATTTTCAAAAATTCAAAAATGAAACAGTAGTCAGGACGACGATGAGGCGTTTGTATAATCTACGATCGCAACCAATACAAAAGATACAAAGAAAAAAAAGTAAAACAGAGGTAAGCGGTATTTGGAACGACTTGCTTTACGCGCCAATAATTAACCGCAATCAAAAATAGGCATCGTGAAGTATTTCAGTCGAGGCAAGCAGAACGTATCCGGCACTAAAACGTTTTCAGATTTACGTCGATCACGCTAACTCTGTTTTTACATAAACATAGAGTATTCATAATGTAATCAATCAGTCATAACCACCCAACTTTTTATGTTTAGGATGATTATCATGAAATTAATTCGAATAGAAACTTACCCCATGTCAGGGCCGCGTTAAATCCACAGAAATCAATAGTACAATATGTACGCGCAAGCGCAACCAAGCGGTTTCCCGAGATTATGAGATGAATTTTCACAAAGAAAAGTAAGGTTATAATACGATCCGTTGACGACTCAATTTAATTAGAGAAACATTCACGCACGACGAAAGATCGACCGATGATAACGAGACGCAGAGAAATCGGCTGGAAATGAATGCGTTTTGAGGAGGAATTTACCCCATGTCTGCACCGCGTTGAACATAGACGAATCAATGGCTCGATAGTTCCGCGCAAGCGTAATCATCATGGCATGTTCTTTTATGTGACGGAACGTATATAGGTACGATGAAATTTCTAGAACTGCAAATTTCGGCTTTGAAAATTTAAAGATTTAGAAATTTGAGAAATCAAAAATCTGAAACCCTGAAAAATCGCGTATTTGGAAATTTTTACATTTTGACATTTAGGGAATGGAACTTTAGGGTTTTGCGAATTCGAGAATTTAAAAATTGAAGAATATGTGGATTTAGAAATTTTTTAATTTAAGAATTTGAGAAACAAGAAAATTTTAAGAATTGTGGAATTTGAAAATTTAGAAACTCGAAAGTTTGAAAGTTGCAGTATTTGGAAATTTGAGAACGTGGAAACGCCTTGAAGGACGAGTGAAATTTTCAGGATAAAAAAAATGCGACGTTAGCGCAATCGATAAAACGCGACCGGAAGTTGTACTTGCGGTATACGGAGGAACTATTGACGCTGTCAGGCGAGGTCAGGATTTCAGGGTTCTGCACCTGTAAACCTTGACCTCGACAATCGTCCTTGGAGGAGCCTTGACCTCCGCCCGAAACGACATCGTTTAACAAGCATGCTCATATTTCGACATTGACGTCCGAAGAGCGAACAAAAATCTTTCCGGCGATCTAAAAGTGTGGCGAGTACAATTTCTCATCGATTTCAGAACCTGCATATCAGCAGTGAAAGTGTTTCACAGCTGATAGACGCTAAAATAATGCGAACGATTTTTTTTTCGCGCATTGCGGTATCCGTTTGGTGCATGCAGTCGCTTCGATGACACGTTTCGCTGGAAAAAGAATATGGAAGAACTGTGGGTGAAGTTTCTAATGAAAGTGCACGGCAATTAGAGCTTGGTATGTTTACGTAAAAACAGCAATGCTCAGTCAAACGTTGTTCGTATTAAAAGGAAAAAAAATGAGGAGATAACGATCAAAATGGGTTATACTCGTAAGTAGGGGAAGCTACTCACATTCTATAAGCGTTCAGCGTTTTTGACATTATTTGTTCTACCCATCGGTAACGTTGGACTCTGTTGAACCTACCTAAACCGTACAAAAAAAATTTAACTCTCTACTATATCGATCTGGTTAAGGTTTCTTCGCGGACAGTCGCAATATTGTCACTCTCAGTCGATCGAATTTCTCGTAAAAAAGACATTTATCCAGTATTCGTAGAAAAATAGAGTCTATACATATGTACACTACAGTGTGTCCCGCATTGGCGATTAGCAAAGGGGCACCTCACGGAATCGCGTTTAATTCTTTACTGAGGGTTAAACGTTTGGCTTCGCACCCTGTCCACGAAAGACCGAGGCATAAGAGGGGGTGGAAGGGATCGAATGATTGCGCAGGCGCCGATTTTATCGGGGGTTACTATACACGAAATATCTACGTGTATAGCAAGTAGACGAAATCGGGAGTGAATTAACCATTACGAGACATAAGCACGTGTTTAGAGCAAGGGTGGGGGTATTTTCCACTGTATTCACTTTCTAAAATTTCAAAGTCTATGAAATTTCAAACTCCCTAAGTTCAGGAACTAAGATCTTAAATTCTGAAGTTCAAAAGTTTCCAACTTCCGAGGTCGATAGGGTTAAAATTTTTTGGGGTGAATGCGACCCTGAATTGATACTTTCTCCATAAACTTTCGTGCCACACGTCATACGCAAATAAGTGTTAGTCGGTCAGTGGAATAACCAGAGGGTGCGTAAGGGTGCGATGAATGGGGCTCTTAAGAAGAGGGTAACGCGTGCATGACACTTAGTTCGTGGATCAGAAATGCGTGACTTAAAGGGGTTGATACGTTATCGATAAATAACGGTGCTATCAATAATGTTATTAAAGCTAACAGGTCAATCGTTACTTATTTTTGAACCAATTAATTCGTTCGCATCTCGTGACTTTGTGGAACGTTTTAGGAAGGCGAAAAGCGTGCATAGACCGTTTTCGCAATCTTTTAAAGGGGGAATAGAGACTGGTAGCTGATGACTCACGGCATGACGACAGAACATTGGAAGTGCTGTACCATGTGCGCCCATTCGTAGAGAAGTACTCAGGGCTGGCTCAAAGAGTGCTCACAACATTCTAAAGACCCCCTAACCAATTCACAATTGTTACGACAAATCTAAAAAAATTGCAACGCGTCGAATTTCCTCGTGATGTATCGCCATGTGCTCTCATATTACTACACAAGTCGAATCTAAAATCGTATTCCAAATAAATCATCATGACATGAAAACTTGTCAGCCTATTTCCAATTTAAAAGTTTTCTATTCTTAACCTCGATATAACGAAAATCTATTGTAGACATAAATCTATTTTTTCCATAAATGTTTAAGTATTAAATAATTTTGATACGGGGCCCCGTAAACGTTGATGCCACCCCTGAGTATTATACATATAACTGCGCGCATAACATCGCAAAAAAACTGCTTTCTCAATTTTAATACATGCTTGTTTTATTTGAATCGCAAAGAAATTAAGGAAGTTTAATAAAGTGTATAGCTTCGAGAGAAGAGTATTTATTACAGTTAACATAAAGACAAAGTAATCTAAATAACACATATGTACGTCGCACGAATCGATATTGGATGTCTGACAAAAACACGTGTGAACATATACCATGGAATTGAATAAACACGGATGCACATACAGACGTTTAATACGATCGTAAAGCATTTTTAGTAGCAAGAAATTATTACTAATTTATTCAGAATTTTCTAAAGTATTAATTAAGAATGTAAATGGAATTTTCGAAAGCGGAATGGGGTCAATGACAGCGTCAGGTGCAACGAAATTTTCAGTCACAACGCGAGACAATTGAAGATCCATATTAGTGAACGTTGAACACTGATTAAGATTCGTATCATATAACAATCACATATTCGTTTCATGTTTCGTTTATATATAGTAAATTGTGGTAACAGTTTATAGATCAGTGTCCGTTCGGTTCGGAACTTTATGCTGGTTCTTTAAATAACTTAATAAACACCTTGTTGCAACTCCTTTGTGACTTTGATGTACGATTAAGGTTAGAAATTTCAAGTCCATGTTCATTAATAAACAGTTACTTACGGCTCCTTTGTCTCCTTATTGGAGAGAATAAATTAAGAAACGAAGCAAATAGTTGAAAATGTTAATACGAGAAGATAAACTGTGTTTCTTAAAACCAATATGCTGACTTCTGAACAGCACTTCACTTATCTGACAATTTGCGGTTAACCCTCGCTTATCGGTGTACATTTATGTAACGCGTACAAAATACATAATATCGCTGACACAGTGAAACCTTTTTTTATTCGTAGGAGCATTCAATTAGTAAATTAGTGAAAATTTGATGAAACGCGCTCCTTTCTAAATGCACTAGAATAAGGATAATTACCATCACCATCGTCGTCATGGTCGTTGGTTCCGCAAAATCTTTCAGAAACGAATTAAGATAATTTACTTCCGGTTAATAACTAGTTGCCCAAGGCGTGGCAATTCGGTCTCGTGCAAATGCGTTTTAAGTTCGTGCGTGTATAAAGAGAAAAAAATTATTTACAGCAATATAAAAACGACTTAACTTACTCTTGAGAACGGTCCATGGAGGAATCCTCCACTCTTCAGTGTAACATCCCACTTCCCTAAAGAAGTGCAGGATGCCTCGATGTACACGTCGAAGACGAACCTAAGAGAATCTTTTTTGTAATGAACAAGTACATTTGACGCGTTTTAATATTCCAATAAACCATTCGGCTTTGTGTTAGCGATAACGTTGGAAAAAGTGAATTGCACTCACCGATCACGGTTGCGAATTCACTGTGCAATGTTCTTCACGATACGAAAGAATAATTTATTGTTTTTTCGTGAGAAAATAGTCTTGTAAAACACAGTCAACTGTAAATTAAGAAACACTGAAATTTTGGTTCGAAAGGTTTGATGACAGACTAAGATGGCGATAACCGTGAAAATTAATAAAAGTACAATAACCACATATTTTGCGACTTAAACGTCGAATAAACGAACACTAAATATGGTTCTCACTGTTGTGATACCATGGACTTTTGTAAAATCGAGTACGGATGAAAAATGTGTTACTCGGAATAAGAAAATTGTAACAAAATGTTCAGAATGTTGAAACGACCGTCAGCCGATCGTAAAAACGCGACTCTAGCGACTCCGTTGCGACTGCAGCGCCAAGCACCGGAATTTTCTATAAGGCCTGTTTTTATGAAACAATTTTTACATTCAAAACAATGAAATTTAAATATATTCTATTTCGAATGATTGTACCAGTCAGTTAGGTTAATTAGTTAAGTTATTACTTTAAATTTTATATTGCAAATATTTCAATATTGAAGCCATACGAATGCAATTTTGTAGAAAGTAAACGCGGCACTTTTTAACATGAATCATCAATGAAAAGAAACACGACAATGCAAATAATGATGACTAACCGAAGAGTAACACCTATTTTTGAAGTATTAGCTTTTTGTTTCAGATGAGACGTATAAATTAATTATTGACAACTGCGTTGATGAAGACACCGTACAGATGCAGTAGACTCGTTATATTGCCTCGAACCGGCAACATGAAATTCTAGACATTATAAATTCTTTTGAGAATCTAATCATTTTTTAATGTCTAAATTTTCAAATTTATCAATTTTCCGATCTTTATAATTTTTAAATTCATAATGGGGAATAACAGGAATAAATACTGTATCTTGCGATAAACCATATTTATTTGAATAATTATTATTTGAATAGTAAATAGATACAATAGAGAACGCTTTTAGCAGGCCAACTTCTCGGTAACAGTTGAGAACTATCAGTATCTTTTTTTCTTCTAAAAGAGATACGTATATCGAAGTGCAGATGCTTCGATCATTTTTTAAAAATCTCAATAATAATTAGGAATAATGATATAGGTAATTCGTAATCGCCTTATTAAAAACAATTAAAATATTACCGTACAGATAAATATTGCTAACTCGGAAACAGTTAAAATTTCTCGTACATGTAAATGGCATTATAATTCACCTCTTGGCCTAAAATAACAAAATGCTATATATAATAAGAGATTGCATTGCGACTCTTTGTATCGTGTGAAAAATGATCGTTAATCATCGTTTTACCGGACAAGTGTCCGACTACTGAGCATCTTTCATGTTCTTTTTAAATGGCATCGATATCAAAATCATCCTCATCATCCGAGTCTTCAACTACAGCAGGCTTCTTCTGCGCAGGCGGTGGCTGTTGTGGTTTCAGTGATTGTTTGGCTCTATCGTCATATTCAATCTACAAAAGATATTAATAAATTAGTAAAATTCCGAGATTATACAGCTGATGAATTTTTAGAAACAGAGATTTACCTCCAGATCATCGTCTTCTTCTTCTGATTCAGAATCTTCTTCTTCCGCTTCTTTCAGCCAAGTTAGGAACGGTGCAGCTTTATCGTGAATTTCTTGAGATAAATCTTTTGATACATATTTTTTGGTTACCTTATTCGACCACTCGAATAAAGCTTTTTCTTCCAAAATATCAACATCATAGAAGAGCTGCAATCAAGATCAATTTTAAGATGGAGTTGTTATCTTTTACTTTGTTATAGCAAAATTTATTTTACCTTCAAAATGCCAGGTACTTTAGGCATCAAAGCATCTTTATGCAGAGCTATCACTTGCTCGATTCCTCTGATCAAATACTTCTGTGCCTTGATGTCATCATGAGTGAAACGTAGCAGAAGTACCCGGTACTTTTTCGCTTGAGCAGCAATGTTCTGATCAAAAAGTAATTCAGCCAATACCAACGGAGCCTTGGTCTTGATCTCCAGACGTTCAGCCTCCGTCACTAGCTCTTTATGGTTGTCCAATTGCCCAGCGTCCCGACGACATTTAACTAACTTATAAAACATGTCCATCCTCTCCTTTTCAGTCTTATCGAGATCGTCGCTGATGGTCATTCCTTTCGCGCCATCCGTCAAGTCTTGCAGACGAGCTCTAACAGCTTCTTCTGACACGTCGACTGCCCAATTATCGTCATCACCGTTCTCGTCAGCCATTTTCTCAGGAGCTTCGACCACGATGTCGGTGGTGCTGGTATCGTTCTCCGGAGAACCAGATCGATCACCGTTAGCGGTAGCGGTGGTAGTTGTTGTTGTTGTTTCACCGTTAGCGCGCTTCGAACGTTTCCCGCGTTTGCCCTCCGTCAGAGAGCTACCTTGAACAGCGGGATTCAAGCTCGGTGGATTCTTCAAGATGTAGGTGTTCAATTTATGATTGCTTTCCAATAGCCCATGGTAGCCGCAGGCTTTGCATCCCTGCGAGATAGTCCCCTTCTTCGCGCTGACCATCAGCTCCGTTTCAGGGTTATCGCAGGCCGGACAGAGAACATATTTTCGAATGAATCCATCGAGGAGATCTTGCAGCTTGGTGGCGTCGTGCGAACCGTTCACGATGAATCTTTCATTTTTGAAATCGAACTGGGTTTGAGCTCCGAGCTCGCATCCGAAGTACTTGGTCGGGTAAGTGGCAGGTCTTCCAATGGCCTTCGCAACGTCGACCATGTTTACGATGACGGTCTTAATGCCGTTGCCCTTGCCCTCGACCTTGGCTTGGATCCGCGGCATTTTATAGCGATAAAACGCATCGCTGACGGTGCGGTTAACGTTGACGCTCCCCATGGTGAATGACGTTTCCGTCTCTTGCTTCTAGCTACCTTGATGTCCGTTCCAAGCGACAACTTACGACGAGACGTTGTGAACACGTTACTGCAAATCGTGGGTGGATGTTCCAAGCTTCTGGTAGCTCGGCTCTCTTGATTCTCGGCCGTTCCTGGATCGCGGTGTTCAAGTGGGTAACGTCTTCGTCCTCGTCCTTCTCGATCTAATTTTCACGTTTCCCAGCGGCAGTTTGAATGCTGTGCAGCGACGTTGCCAGGCAATGGCTACCCGATGGTAGCTCGTTACGTGTCGAGTCAGGGTGATTTTCGTTGTCTGCGGTAAGGTGTGCCGCACTATCCGCTGACGCCAGTCACGTTTCTCTGAACGGCTGTAGCTTCCGATGCCTATTACTGAAATAAACGTTCAAATTAGTTTATCTAATAGCAATAGTTTATACAAGAGGTCATGAGGAAGTACACACCTGGAAAATTTTGAGGTCCTGTGTTTAGGCAGGACCAGATGGTTTAGAAATCGTTGGGTGGTATCTTGATGCAGATATTGCCTCGGTTTGGTGGGCAGAGGGGGATAGTCTTCAATGATCATACACGCTGCCTGTCCGTTGCTTGTGCCACTAAGAAAGCCTGGGTACCAGGTTGGTGTGGTTAACTCACAAGTTGCTCGTAACGAACGATTACACCGAGCTAAGGTGATGATGTTGCCGTTTAAATGTCGCTTGGACAATGTCCTACTACCGCCGCCTTTGCTGTACACCGATCCTTTCCCTCTGGATGATATCCTGGATGTTCCTGTAATCAAACCAATTCGTTATCATCTCTTTAGCTTGCATATCAAATTGTCTTTGTCACATCAGACTTCCTAATCTGCTAATCATTTGTTTCTTAACCTAGTCTACTTTCTCTAAAAGTACCATTGTAGGTTAAGATTTAGTAAACCTTAACATAGGTTCTCTGAATAAATTTAGTAGGTTACGCAGTCATGTGGGTCACAGATAGTCACAGTCCCTAAATCAATATCCTGATAAGAGGACAACTGACTCCTTGAATAGTACCCAAGATATAAATCAAGAATTCAAGATAAAAATGACCCAGACCAACCTATGTTTAACCAGCCAAATCATCTCAAGCGACGTAACGCATAATACGTTTCGCAGACATATCAGTCTTCGATCACAGAAATCTGAATGTATTTTGTAGCAGCCTATTATGTCCATTCACAGCCGGATTCGAAGATCTTTCGGACCTGCTAAAAACGTTCGCAGAAAGGGACCATCAGGGGATGCTTTTACCAGGGTTCTCAGACTCGATCATGCAGCTGCATTATTTCTGTTGCCTGTTTTCGTAGATTGTTTGAGGTCGTTCATGAAAATTTAGTCCGGTGCGTGGTCTCATTTATCTTCGTTTAACGATCATCCAGCCGGTGTTTTGAGGAGACTGACCATTCCAAAATCATGATAGCGACAGTCACACGAGGACTTGCTTGCCGGGAAGTACGTGGTTTGAGGTTTCACCACCGGAAACGATGCGACGGAATCCTTTACTGAGCATCGTCAAGAGGAATGAAACAAATGAAACGGAAACAAATGATCAGAGAAGAGGACGATCGTATCATCCATGAATGTGATTATACGGGATTGTAATTTTAATTGCGATCGTGGGATGACTGCTGGAGTTGACTCTCGGTATATTGCCGAATTTGGGGGAGTTTGGGTTTTTGGGAAGTTGGGAGGTGGAATTTTGGGTAACTGGAAATTGGGGAGGTGGAAATTTGGACAATTGGGTATTGGGGAGATGAAATTTTGGGCAATTGGGAATTTAGAAATTTAAATTGGGGGTTTTGTAAATTTGGAGACTTGAGAGTAGGGGAAGGTGGAGATGGGAATTTGGGAAGTTGCAAATTTAGAATTTTGGGCAACTGGAAATTGGGAAGATGGAATTTTGGGCAATTGGAAATTGGAGAGATGGAATTTTGGACAATTGGAAATTGGGGAGATGGAATTTTAGGCAACTGGAAATTGGGGAGATGGAATTTTGGACATCTGGAAATTGGGGAGATGGAATTTTGGGCAATTGGGAATTCAGAAATTTAAATTGGGGGTTTTGCAAATTTGGGCACTTGAGAGTAGGGGAAGGTGGAGATGGGAATTTGGGAAGTTGGAAATTTAGAATTTTGGGCAACTGGAAATTGGGAAGATGGAATTTTGGGCAATTGGAAATTGGAGAGATGGAATTTTGGACAATTGGAAATTGGGGAGATGGAATTTTGGACAATTGGAAATTGGGGAGGTGAAATTTTGGGCAATTGGGAATTGGGGAGATGGAATTTTGGGCAATTGGGAATTGGAGAGGTGGAATTTTGGGCAATTGGGAATTGGGGAGGTGGAATTTTGGGCAATTGGAAATTGGGGAGATGGAATTTTGGACAATTGGAAATTGAAGAGATGGAATTTTGGACAATTGGAAATTGAGGAGATGGAATTTTGGACAATTGGAAATTGGGGAGATGGAATTTTGGGTAACTGGAAATTGGAGAGATGGAATTTTGGCCAACTGGAAATTGGGGAGATGGAATTTTGGCCAACTGGAAATTGGGGAGATGGAATTTTGGGTAACTGGAAATTGGAGAGATGGAATTTTGAACAATTGGAAATTGGAGAGATGGAATTTTGGGCAACTGGAAATTGGGGAAATAGAATTTTGGGCAACTGAAAATTGGGGAGATGGAATTTTGAACAATTGGAAATTAGGGAAATAGAATTTCTGACAACTGGGAATCTAAAAATTTAAGAAGTATAAAGCTTAAAAATTTGAAAATACAAATACGTGGAAATCTCAAAAATTCCAAAACTTGCCAATAATACGAAAAGTAGGAAATTTGAAAAAGTGGAAACCAAGCTCCCTCAGGGAGAATTAATTTAATTTGCTTCCGATAATCCACGTTGATACCAGCGATCGGAAAACAAGAAACCAATGTGACAACAATTGCCAGCGTATATTATCCGTAATATCATCACGTTAATTCCCAATACGAAGCCAGACAGGGCTCGCTATGCTATGAACACGCTTCCGGTCTACGTATATCGAATGTAAGCAAACAGAGACGATATCCGCGTTTCTGCGAACTGATAGTTCGAATGTTAACGGGAAAAGATTATTTCACGTTTTAAGACCACTATCATAAAAGCTTTATTATTCTAAAAATTGTACTAATTGCAAGACTCTGTATTAATTTTCTACCACTTTTTTCAAATTTGAAGCTGGATTTCATATAATTTGAAGGAGTTTCATTGATTGATCATCTATGAAGGAAAGCCTCAAGTCTCATCTATGAAGGAGTTGAAAGATAAAAGCATCTTTCACGATTTCGACCAAAGAAAAAGAAGCATATTTTTGCAGGATTCTATCGACCTGGGCGGGGTTGCATTGGTTTCGATAGCACGACGAAATCCTATTATGTAAAAACATAGTATAATCCGCTTCCGACTAATACGCCAGCGCAATGCTGTTCTTGCTGTGATCATTAAAGATAACTGAATCGCGTAAATCGTTCCGATAAACAGCGTACACATTATTCATCTTGTAAACTAAACAACGCTTGTACACCGTCATTTATTTCCTCGGTAAAGTTTCACAAGTTTCTTTATCATGCCTACAGAAAAATTGATTCGATTTGGTCAACGAACTTTGCAAAGAGGGGCAGAAAACTCTTGTGGATATGCATTTTTTAGCGGAAACTTTACTTCCTTGAGTGAAGTACGATGGAATGCAAAGGTCAAACTAGTTGTGGAGGCTTTCCGATATTTTTAATAAATATTAATACATATGTTGTTCAAAATTGGATAGAAAAGTATTGTAAATATTCCATGTATCATTAATATTATTTTTTGTAATAAAGGGAGGTTTGTAAAAAAGTTAGATGGTCAATGTAGGTAGCTTTGTGCAATTTACAAAATTAAATTTTATAAATTAAGTGTCCTAATTTATTACACTGTCTTCGAAATGTCTTCTTTTTCTTACATTTTTAAATAACGCAAAAACGTAAGAAAATTCCCAAGAGACCAACCACAAATGAGCTCCCGATTTTGAGCAGCAGTGTACACATAATCGTGTGTGTACATATGTGCCAATTAACTATTGATTCCTGATGATGACGAAGCTAGTTAGGGAATTCAGGTTCTCACGTGCACGAAACGTTCCAACGTCTGGCACGCGGTGTAAAATGACGGGTTTAGAATTCTAACCGCGATATCCCGTACCGATTAATCGTTTATCAATGCGCCAGTTCGAGCGCTAAAACCCGTTCATCGATCCCATCCGTTCCCGATAGAAAGAGAATTTCACGTGTGCACCGTGAATCCGCATCGTTCGAATTCCTGTGCACGTTTCGCGATACCAACGTTAAAAGAGGGACTTAGGAAAAGTGTAATTAACGGTGTTATCGAACGCCAACGACGTAATTGAATTTTTTCTATGCGCTAATGACGCGATAAGCGGTGGAGAACAGGCTTTTTTGTGTCGTTTTTAGTAAACGTAGAACGAAAATTGACAATGTTTGGGTTGAGTGAAGAATCGAGGGAGATTTGTATTTAAATATAGACGAGTGACCCACGGAGGAAACACTGAAGTCGATCAGAATTTTACATTCTGAGATAAAAGGTAGTTATGTTATGTCAAATGTATTAAGGATTGTTTCAAAAATATTTTAATGTTCGGTGGGTCATCGGTGACCCACAGAGGATCCAGTGAAGTCGATCAGAATTTCACATTCTGAAATAAAAACTGGTTATGTTATGTCAAAAATATTAAGGATTGTTTAACAAATATTTTGATATTCGGGTGGATCATCGGTGACCCACGGAGGATCCACTGAACTCGATCAGAATTTCACAATCTGAGATAAAAGCTAGTTATGTTATGTCAAAAATATTTAGGATTGTTTAAAAAATATTTTAATGTTCGTGTGGGTCATCGGTGACCCACGGAGGATCTACCAAATACACCACAATTTTAATATTGTCAGATAAAATATTTCATACGTTAAACATATCAAGGATTGTTTTAAAAATATTTTACTATTCGTGTGGGTCATCGGTGACCCACGGAGGATCTACCAAATACACCACAATTTTAATATTGTCAGATAAAATATTTCATACGTTAAACATATCAAGGATTGTTTTAAAAATATTTTACTATTCGTGTGGGTCATCGGTGACCCACGGAGGATCTACCAAATACACCACAATTTTAATATTGTCAGATAAAATATTTCATACGTTAAACATATCAAGGATTGTTTTAAAAATATTTTACTATTCGTGTGGGTCATCGGTGACCCACGGAGGATCTACCAAATACACCACAATTTTAATATTGTCAGATAAAATATTTCATACGTTAAACATATCAAGGATTGTTTTAAAAATATTTTACTATTCGTGTGGGTCATCGATGACCCACGGAGGGTCTACCAAATACACCACAATTTTAATATTGTCAGATAAAATATTTCATGTGTTAAACATATCAAGGATTGTTTCAAAAATATTTTACTATTCGCGTGG